CAAACTAGAATAATATGGAAATTAGTGGAATAATATTTTAAATACTTCTATTATTCTCCCGCAAATTGGTCATTGATAACGAAGAGCAGCTTAGAACAAAAGCATGATAAAGGAGCTAATGGAAGTGCTTTCGTGAGAATGACGACTAAAAGAATGTTAGCTGATATTTTTTGTGAGAGATTTGGCGATTAGAGCGGGGTGAGCCATTTTCTCAGCTTCACTGTTCTTTTTCGATTCTTCGATCACGCACTCGATTTTTGGAGAGAGAGAGGGTCGGGGAATAAGGTAAGGGACGATGGTTGTTAGACGCACTCAAAACTTTTTGGAGAGAAAAAGAGAATGATAACGGGCAACGAGGCCATGATCAATATATGACAGTCGACCATCGATAAGGAAGACCGGTGGTTGCACACTTGCACACGGTCAAAAGAAATGAGCTAGTTTTTTTAGAAATCACCCTAAATAGGACTAAAACATAGAGAAAAGTACCAAAATTGGACTTTCATGTTTTTTTTTCGAAATAGGACTTTGCACTGTGGTAATGTGACTTTGCCCTGTGGTAATGTGGCAGTGTACATGTGCAAATTATTATACTTTTGGGTAATGTATATGACCATGTATGGTAATGTAAGTCCTATTTTGGGAATAAAAACATGGAAGTCCTATTTTGGTATATTTTCAACGTTTTAGTTCTACTTTGGTCTTTATCCTTTTTTTTAAGAAAGATACATAATGAACTCTTATACCTTGATATAATTTAATAATAATTAGTTATACTCCATATTAAGTAATGAATTGAAGGTTCCCCCTTATATATACTCCATCCGTTCCTAAATTATTTACACTTTACGCAAATCAAAGTAAAATGTCAAATTTTTTCAATTTATTTTATTTAAATATTGGTATATAAATAAAAAATAAAACTTACATACGTAAAAAGTACATTAAAAGTTATACTCCCTCCGTTCTACAAAACCCTTCTCCTTTTGTTTTTTTTAATTCTCTAAAACACTTAGCTTCCACTTTCCATTAAAAAACCACTTTTACCCTTACTTTTTCATACCCTACATATCGCATCATACTTTTTCACTAATAACCAAACTATCACATCTTACTTTTACCCATCACATCAAGGGCAAAATTGGAAAGTCAACCAAAATTAAACTTTCCTTATTTTTGCCAAAAGTCAAAAGTGAAAGTGTTTAAATGAACGGAAGGAGTACAAAATAGAAGGTGACAAGAGTATTTTATTTTATCAAATAATCAATAAAAATACACTAAAAAACAAAAGTTTATGCGATTTTTGAATATTAAAGTATACTCCGTATAAGTTATTTATAGACGGACAGAGTATATGAAATTCATTAGATGGACAATTAAGTGATTTAAATTTTTTTCATCATCGAAATATATTTCATCTAGAAGACAAATACTTTTTGGTGGACCTTAGTTCCACTTTGCTTTTGTGGACTAAATTTGAAGAGTTTAATACTCCCTATTTTGTAATGTTGATGAGCCTTTGAAGATTTTACGTACAACGAATTAAATAAATACGCCTACATATTAGATGCGGATATTAGAACAACTAAATCACTTCTCTTCTAAAAATCAAATTTGAACAAAGCGGCAAATTTGGAAAACCCTAAATTAAACTCCATTCTATGGTCATTCATGCGTTTTTAGTTCTTACTAAAAATTGAAAATGTTCAATAAACATTAACTGATAAGTTAAACTAGTACTCCGGGGTAGTTCAATAGAACAACAAAATTTTGAGTAAGAAGTTAAGAATAGATTAACAATAACTGTTAAAAGTTACTCGTAAATATTTAGATTGCAGCATGTTAAAAAATTACGAATAAATTATTACTCGGTACATCAAAAAACTAATCAACCTTACCCTAAAGCATGCTTTCAAAAACCTTACCCTAAAGATCAAAATACCCTTCCTTTGTGATCTGAGCTAGTTTATGTGTGAAGAATTTACTTGATGGACGGGGCATAGTAGTAATTTTGGCGGGGCATGCACCTAATGAGCCACCCGGGGCTCCCCCCACCCACTAGCTACCTACCATGTAAAACTTCCTTATTATGGAGTCTTGTACACAAGGGAAAGGGTAAAGTTTAGGTAAATATGGTGACTAAATCTTCTGTTAAAGGAGCGAGATATATCTTTAACATTTAACTGCTATTTTTTTTAGCCAGATATATGTATTCATACTCTTTTCTAACTAATGACGTACAAAGAGTCAATGTCTCTGCCTCGACGTGGGCTTGAACCAAGATGAACTTCCTATTCTGGAGAGTAGGCTTCCTACAACGAACTCAAGCCCGAAGAGAAGTTTATTACTCCCTCCGTTTCTCAAAACGGTTCCTCTTTTGACTTTGGAGAAAAATAAGGAAGTGTTAAATTGTAGTTGACTTTCTGATTTTGCCCTTGATGTGATGGGTAAAAGTAAGATGTGATAGTTTAGTTGTTAGTGAAAAAGTATGATGTGATAGGTAGGGTATGAAAAAAGTAGGGGTAAAAGTGGTTTTTTAATAGAAAAGGGAAGTGTTTTAAGAAAAACAAAAAAAATGAAAGAGGAAGGGTTTTAAGAAACAGAGGGAGTATTAAATATATTTAGTAGTTAATATATTTCGTATTTGTAATATGAAATATTTATACTAAATAGCACTAAAACTTAAGTCATTTCCTAAAATAGCACTAAAATTGTTTTATTCTTTATATAGCACTTAATAATGTCCATAATATTCAGTGATGGCAAATGTTTTTACTTGAATAATGATTAATGCATAATGACTATTGACTAAAAGTACTACATTGGGAAGAAAAACATACGTGGTTATATTTAGGGAAAGTCATTATGTTTTAGTACTTTTTAAGTAAACTCTTGTAATGTTGACGAGTCAATTCATTTATTTTTGTTAGGTAATCATCAAATTGCTAAAAATTAGGTAGAATAAATTATTAGGGGCATTAGGGTCATATATTAGTCGAATTTTTATTGGATATAAAAAGAAACTACACCCCAATTCCCCTAATATGCGTAATTGTTCGACCCAATTACCTACTCCGTAGTAGTCTTAACAATTACTCCATATTATTTTTATATTAAAATATTAATTTCATTTCATTTAATTTTTCTACTACATTGTCTATTTTGTGCATAACGTTTGTATGTAAATCCATTCTTCCCAAATAATATATCGTTGGAAATCTTTCGTAAAGATCTACCCACGGTACTAGTAATAAAATAAAATTTTGATTAAATGTTCTTCTCATATTTCAAAATAAGAAAAGTTAAATTTATAAATAATTTTTTCTCTATTACTTGACCAATGATATTCCCTATGTCCCAAATTAAAACACAAAATTTGACACGGTATGGTGCTTAAAAAAATAAAATTGCATGTGTTGAAATGCATCTAATTTAGGAAAGAGTTTAATTTGTAATATCTACTTTTTGTAATTTATTTCGGGAAGATACATTGTGATGACCGATATATGAACTGTGATTTATGCATTATGGTCTTATGTGAATGCAATGTGATGATAGATATATGCACGATGACTTCTTGTTTAATTTTGTCCAAATTTTAATCAATTAATTAATTTGCAA